GATTCGTTTATAATGTGCCTATCAAAGAACAACTAAGTAAGTACAAAAATAAAAATAACGTGACCACACATAATAGACTGTTTCCCGTTTTAGACCACCACTCCTCTGACAGAAAATCTCCTGCTAATTAGAAACAAGATTAAATAGCTGCATCATATATTTTTTCTTAAAGGTCATCTAACTCAGACTTAGGTAGATTTTAAGTAGATGAGAGTTCCAGGGACTGGACCATCTACGAACAATGTGCTGCTGCCCACCATGAAAGTTTAACTACGGAACCAGTGAGAAAGAACATTCGAGATAGAATAACAGAAGCGTGGGGCTGGAAGGAACCTCAAGAAGTCATCAAGTCCTGCCCACTGTTCTGAGGCAGGACCAAGTAAACTTAGACCATCCCTGACAGGTGTTTGTCCAACCTGTTCTTAAAAAACCCCAATCATGGGGATTCCACAGCTTCCCTTGGAAGCCTATTCCAGTGCTTAACTGCCCTTATAGTTAGAATTTATTTTCCTAATAGCTAACCTAAATCTCCCTTGCTGTAAATTAAGCCATTACTTCTTGTCCTGCCGTAAGTGAAACAAGTGATCATCGTCCTCTTTGTAACAGCCCCCAACATATTTGAAGACTGCTATCAAGTCCCCTCTCAGTCTTCTTTTCTCAAAACTAACCATTCCCAGGTTTTTTTTAACCTTTCATCATCGGTCAGGTTTTCTAAACCTTTTATCATTCTTGTTGTTCTCTTCTGGACTCTCTCCAGTTTGTTCACATCTTTCCTAAAGTTTGGCACTCAGAATTGGACACAGTACTCCATGTGAGGCCTCATCAGTGCTGAGTAGAATGGGACAATTACCTCCCATGTTTTACTATGCCACTCCTGTTAATACACCCCAGAATGTTATTAACCTTTTTTGCATCTATATCACATTGTTGACTCCTTCATTTGTGATCCACTATGACCCATAGCTCCTTTTCAGCAATACTACTTCAAAGCCAGTTACTCCGCATTTTGTAGTTGTGCATTTGATTTTTCCTTCCTAAGTGAAGTACTTTGTACTTGTCTCTATTGAATTTCATCTTGTTGACTTCAGACCAATTCTCCAATTTGTCTAGGTCTTGCTGAATTCTCATCCTACCCTCCAAAGTGCTTGCAACCCCTCCCAGCTTGGTGTTCTTTGCTAATTGTATAAGCATACTCACCATTCTATTGTCCAAGTCATTAAAACATTGAATAGTAGCAGTCCCAGGACTGACCCCTCTTGGCACCCCACTAGATATGCCCTGCCAGTTTGACAGCAAACCATTGATAACTACTCTTTGAGTATGGTCTTTCAACCAGTTATACACCCACCTTATAGTAATTTCATCTAAACCATAGTTCCCTAGTTGGTTTATGAGAATGTCATGTGGGACTGCATCAAAAGCCTTACTAAAATAAAGATATATCATGTCTACTGCTTCCTTCCTATCCAGTAGGCCAGTAACCCAGTCAAAGAAGGAAATTAGGGTGAGGTTTGGCATGACTTGTTCATGACAAATACATGCTGGCTATTTCTTATAATCCTATTATCCTCTAGATGCTTAAAAATAGATTGTTTAATAATTGTGTTCCCATATTTTTCCAGTTCAAAGTTAGGCTGATTGGTCTGTAATTCCTATGTCCTCTTTGTTCCCCCTTTTAAAGATAGATACTATGTTTGCCCTTCTCCAGTCCTCTGGGACCTCACCCATCCTCCATGAGTTGTCAAAGACAATTGCTAAGGGTTCTGAGATTGTTTCAGCTAGTTCCTTAAGTACCCTAGGATGCATTACATCAGGCCGTGTTGACGTATCTAAATATACTTTAATCTGTTCTTTCACTATTTTGGCTTGTGTTCCTTCCCCCCCTTTTGTTAATATTAATGGTGTTGTGTATCTGATCAACATTAACCTTTTTAGTGAATAATGTAGCAAAGTAAGCATTAAACACGTTAACCTTCTTGATTATAAGCTCCTTCCCTTGAGCTCCTTCCCCACGTTAACTTTCTTGATTATAAGCTCCTAAGTAGAGGACCTACACTTTCCTTTGTCTTTCTGTTGCTCCTAATGTATTTATAGAACAACTTTTTATTGCCTTTTATGCCCTTTGCTAGATATAACTCATTTTTTGCCTTAGCCTTTCTGATTTCGTCTCTGCATAACCATAACTGCTGTAGTGGGGCATGGGAAAAGATGTGGTTTCATAGAGTGGCTATTTTTAGCGCTTTAGAGATACTCATCAGCACTTTGCTTTCCACCTGGAGGCAAAAATAGAAGTTCACATCCCAGACCAAAATTGTAACATGTTCCAACTGAAGTTCCCCATTTCGTAAATAGGAAGCCACGTTATGGGCTAGTTGATGCTTTTGATTCTTCTTCAGGACCAGCCCCAAGTTCTGTAATCTCATGTGGAGGTGACTAAGGGGTGGATAAGTATACGGAGAGGCCCAGATTAGAGTGGCAAAGTCACAGAATTCAAGAATCAGGCATACCGGTAGTCTCAACAAAGGAGGAAGTTGCCATCTCTCTCATTTTCTCCAGAAGCTTCCATCTACCTGCCAGCATTACTTTCAGGATATTTTGAATGAATGTTCATGGAAGATCCTATCTTGGCCAGGTACTGGGAAGGCAAAGAGATTATAAAGTTTAGATTTGAAGTGGGGAATAAAAAGTACAGATGAGTATAATCATCAGCATACAGGTAACAACAGATGAAAACCTCTCAGACCTAATGTTTAAAATAGGAGCCTAAAGTTGACTTTGTAGAATGCTATTTGAGTGCTCAGCACTTTTGAAATTCAAGCAGGTGACTAAATATGGATTTAGGAGCTTCCAATTTTAACAACCTTGACCCTCATGATCTTCTTCAGTAACCTGAAATACACATTAAATAGCAAAAACATGGAACCCACACAATCCTATTGGGAGTAATCATTAGTGAGAATGAATGACTGTTCATCACCACCACCCCATGTCATCTACAAGAACCAGTATACCACCCTTCCTATGTTCTAGAGGCAAGCAAGCAACTCCCCATTGGAGTTTTGCCTTTGACTTCAGTCAGTATTTCACCCTGTGTGTTTTGTACATTCTGTTTCTGATGTTATATGTTTTGATTATGTAACTGTGCCCAGTGTTTCAAGTGTGTATTGCAAATAAAATGGTAAGTTTTAATGGTAAAATGGTAATTATACTTCAGAAAAGTATAATTGATTTAAAAATATGTGGACTGGAGTAGTGATACTTTGGCTGAAGAAGCTGCATAATCCCCACATTCATGTTGTTTGGGAAGTAATTACCGGGTTTGTAATCTTAAACCAATTTGATCACAGCTTTTATTCATGGTACTTTACAACAAGAATATAGATCATAAATAACATTTGAAAGATATGAGGTTATGCAGAGATAATTGCACATCTGAATTACATTGGCACAGTGCCCCAAGCACCTTCCACCATCCCTACTGAATTGTATAGCTTCACGTTATGAAATGCATTATTGCTCTCATAGAATGTTTTTATTGCTCCAGAAGGGCAAACTAAAGTTAATAAAATGCAGCTCCTGATTACCACTCTGTGTGACTATTTTTTATTTTCTGAACCCTTCTTGGCTAGTCTCATTCCTTGGTGTGTTTTTACATATATGGATACATAAATTTGTGTCTCTACCAATTTGAGAGGTTTTATCACTGTGATAGGGATTTCCCATAGATATAATGGCTAGTACCAGCAAAACCAGGCAAATGGCAAAATTTTAACTGTAATCCCTGTATCATTCCTTGCAACTAATCTCACTCATTGCAAAAAAGATATTCAATTGAATAGCGTGTTCAGGTTACAAAGGCTACCAGAAATAATGGTATGTTTTGTGCAGCAGCATCAGAATACTGTTCCTGCTGTAGGCAAAATGCAGTATCAGCTGCTTCTGGTTCTTCAGGTGACAGTCAGCATTAGAGAGTAGAATTCATTATGTTAATGGGAAGCTAAGAGTTATCTTAAAGTACTTCTTTCAGGGGTCGTGCTGCAACAGGGAAAGTGATGATATCGTCCCAAGTTCTGCCCACAAACCAAGCTCCACCCATTCATGATAGCTATACGAGATGCCACTCACAGTAGATTGTGCAGAACTTCATATTCCTTCTTCGTAATGTTTTTCTGTTATCTGTAGTAAAACTGTTAACAAAGTTGATATTATTTAGGATTCAGAATCACCACCCCATTAATATGACTAGGGCAGTTCACACCTCGCAGCTAATGTGTCAGGTTGCCTACAGACTCAGGAAGTCAGGGCTACCTCAGGGTTTGTCTAGTTCACATTCCAAAGGTAATTTTTGAAATCAAGGGCATGTCTACATTTCAAAATCTTATTGTAGTCAAACATGTTTGGGAAGAGTTGAGTTAACTTAAATGACAATGCATACAACTGACCGGTCAGCGTAGACCAGGGCAAATCATGTTCAGCACCATGTGAGCTAGCTGTGATCAAACTATGGTTCCAAAGCATTACACATTTAAAGTGTGGTACGTAAAATCGAAGAATTGAAGTGATATTGTGACACCTTTCTTGCCCCCAAAATGTCTTGCTCTCATTGATGATATCCTAATGTGGGTTACATATATCATCATCATCATCATGGGAAATCCCAGAAGGATGTAGACTCCTTGCAGATTGAGTGCCACCTGGATCAGTCTTTATCTAGGTCCTTAAGGTGGTCTGGCTGGATATTTGGTTTATGTCCATCATTGCAATCTGATTACACTACCAAAGCTTTTGGCAACCATGTGATTGCCAACTGTGAAGCAGCATTCTTTGGTAAACATGCTTTGGAATTCATTGGTCTTCCATCCTAATAATATGTATGAGTGTATGAAATATTGTAAATATAATAAAGTTAATATTTTAGTGTCACATGGACTTCTATATAATCTTTTTCTCAAATAAATAAAGAAATCATGAAACACTACTTCAATATTTTCTCTTGCAAGGTCATTGACATGCCTGAACACAATCCTGGAGATATGGGAGGAACAATGAGACTGGGAAAAAGGAGGACTGTTTTCAAAACAGAAGACTCTGTCCTAAGTAAGTTACTTCTTGCCTGTTTCATTTTCTCTCATGATAAAAATGCCATCTGTCTCATATTTAAAGGCCTAAATGAATTGTGCCAAACATGTTCTTGTGGTTGCATTCATTGCCTCTCCTTACACACCATGTAGTCCACATTTAAAATGTTTCCTACCCTGAAAAGCAACTAAACAAATAGCATTTTTTATTCATCTGATTAGTTCCTGGGGTGAATCTTTTTAGAATCTATAAACAACATCTACTAAAGACAAATTAACAGCCCTCTCTTCCCTCTCTCCCTGTTTGAAGTGCATGCCGATGAATCACCCAGAGAGGCACTGGAGGGGGAAATACACAGTTTCATTTTCTCTCTGTCCCACTTTTGCTTCTCTCCTCCAAGCACCAGATAAAATGGTCACTGTGAGGGGAGCTGGCACAGACTGGTGGCTCTGCAGGCAACAGTGGGAGGACAGGAAGCTCAGTACACCAGGCTGGCTTCAACATGTTAGCTCCCCAGCAGGGCTCCTCTCTCCAGAAGGATGGGCTACCTTAGATGCCCCCACGTTGCCAGATTCTTTACAAGGGCGCAAGCATTTCTCATTGTACAGAACAGGCTGCTGCTGCTGCCTCTCTCTTTTTTGATGACACACCAGTACACTCAGCAGGAGCCAGGACTTCCAGCAAGAAAAGTGGGTGGGTCAGTCAAGAAGGACATAAAGCCGCCCTGTATAAAATATTGCAGTTTTATTTTTTAAATTAAGTGCGGTTATTTATGCAGTGTAATCCTCAGTTTTTCAGAATGTGACATTGGTGGTTCCAGCCACTTTTTAAACTGTGGACTGTGATGATGGTCCTTGCCTCTTGTGGTAATAACCCTCTCTATTTTTGTGTTCAGCTTACAAGAAGCACAAAGAGAGGAAAACAAATATTGAGCTCAAATCTACCCTCGGATGCTCACATGCAGCTCCCACTGGAGTGGTGAATGAAATTCTATGGGTAGAGCTTGAGCCATATTGAACAGAGATATTTGTCAGATATACTCCTGCCCAGAGGGTGTGCCAGAAAAAAGGTCACATGGGAACGTCTGTGTCATTATTCCCATAAAATAAACATTAGTAATTCATAAATTCAACGTAATCCATTGTTGCCCATCATGGAATAATAGTCCATTTTTATTCTAATCAATTTTCTATTTTTTTCACCATCAAGATCCCTGGCATTAGGGTTCTTTGATCTCCAGTAATGCTTAGCAAATATTATTTGTCCAGCCTGGCATGTCACAGCAAATGCCAAACCCACTATTTTTACTGCCTTGGAAGCTGAAGCACACTTGGATGATATGATACACGAATGATAGCCAGTGTGCTTCACATTCATTCCCAATGCTCTGAGTGTGGATTTAATCCATGTTCATTCTAGCCAGAATTCTAGGGCAAACAGACACTGCTTACCTTCTCTCATCTGATATGTTCCTTCTGATTAACTTAAAGGATGCCTGTCTGCGTGAACTTCCACAGTCCACTGCTAGAGGACTCAGCCAAAGCCTCCTCCTTTCTTACTTTTACATGTGAGGTGAAAAAATAGAGGAAGTGAATAAATGCCCAAACTACATTGGGAATTCGGATTCTTGTCTAAGTGCTTCATTCCATTTAGTAGACAGGAACTTCAGCTATCTCTTAATGTGTCCGTCACAAAAAAAAAATTAAGTAGCTAATGGAGACCATTTGTTTCAGAATGATAAATATTCTATGCTATGAGTGACATTCCATTCAGACAATATAGAAAAATACTTCATTCTTTCCCCCAAATAATTTTGTACCCAAATACATTACAAAGTCCCCAATAATATACATGAGATTACTTGTTGATAGAGTGGGATTAGTCAGGAACAAAAGAATGCTACAAAATAGAAATCTTTATTTATGATAAGTAGTTCAGATACCCTTTATTTCTGGAGATGCATTTTTTGCCTAGGCAGATGTTACAAAGAGTCATTTTATATTGCCCCTTGAAGCCACCCCTTTAATGAAACCTTCCTGAGCTGAATGTGCTTACTGAAATGTAACATTTTCTCCTCTATTTTAGAAAATATTTAAAAATATACATCAGTGCAAGACACTGGCTTGTAATTAAGATAAAACTGAGTGTCTGGGTTTTTTTCTGGGAACCTGTGATGGGGTGGACTAGGCCCAAAGGCCCCCTGTTGGAGGCTTTGGGGTCCTACCACACTCCGTCCCAGAGAGGAGCAGATGAGAAGTCCTCCAAGCATCCTAGAGTGGCTGTAGGGGAAGCAGCCAATCCGAAGGGCTGCAGGAGGGGCCAGGAGGGCCATATAAAAAGGAGCTGCAGAGCCAGAGGCAATCAGTTGCTGCCTGGATCTGGAAGAGAGAAGACTGTGTTCCTGGATGGCTGAAAGAACATCAGGACTATGGACAGCTCAGTGTGGGCAGGGACCAAGAGAGCTAAGAAGTAGCTCCTGGCTGACTGCTGGGACAGAGTAAGGACTGAGCCTGGGGAGGGCTGCAGGACGACAGTGTCTCTAGGGCGGAAGCCCTGGGGTCTGGCCCCATACCAGGGCCAGGAGAAGGTAAAGACTGTATGCCCCAGAAGGGTTTTGTTCTGTTGCACCTACAGACAGTGTGTGTGACTTGACCAGAGAGCTGAGTAAGTCACTGAAGACCCGCCGAAGAAACCATCGACCGAGGGGGGGTGCTCCTGAAAAGCTGGTGCTGACCTCATTACAGAACCAGATATACTTGAATTAAGATTTTGAGAGAATTCACCTTCCTGCCCTGCCCAGCCCTATAAACTTCCAGTACAGCAGAAGAGGTCAGAATATCATTTTTAAACTCCTGGAAATCCATCTTCTCCAGGTGATCACTCACTATTCAGTGGATTAGTGAGTTTCCATGTGCTACCAGCTATATAAGAGTGATGGCGATACCTTCATCTTAAATTAAAAGACAGTACTTTACATCGCAAAGACTGTTTCACTGATTTTAATATGAATTTAAGCAATCCGGCATTGCTTTCCTTCACTTGCCTGTTTTTAAATACTGCTGATGAAATTTCTAGAAAACAACTTAACATAAGAACTCATTGACAATTAAATGAAAACAGTATTTTCTATAAAGTCTTTAACCATAAAGACAAAAACTCAAAAAAGAAATTGAGCCTCTTGGCCTGACTCTAACTTTAGCATGGGGGCTTCTGCTGGGCTATGGTTAGGGCTGGGGCCAGCGGGAAGTCCCTGGGCTAAGGTTGGGGCTGGCAGAAAGTTAGGGTTTGGGCTGGCTGGATTGGTGTCCCTGGGTTGAGGTTGGGGCCAGAGCCAGCAGAAGCCTTTAGTTTAGGATGAGGGTTGGAGCCAGCAGGCAACCCTGGGGAAGGATTCGGGTTGGGATTGGTGGAGGTTCCAGGACTAGCGTTAGGGTCGGGGCCAGCAGAAGCCAACAGGCTAAGGATAAAGTTGGGATTTGCAGAGGCTGTGGCCAACAGAGGCTAGAGCTATGGTTGAGGCCACCGTGCAGCCCCCAGGTTAGAGTTGGGTCTGGTAGATAGCCCTAGGCTAGTGTCAGGATTTGGGGTGGCAGGCAGCCTCATGCTAGGGTTCGGGTTGAGATTAAGAGAGGCCTTCAGGTAGAAGTTAGGGTTCAGATCAGTGGAGGACTTCAGGCGGGCAGACAGCCCTGGGCTAGGGTTGGGGCTGGCAGATGCCCTGAGTCCAGGGTTAGGATTTTGCCCAGCAGAGGCATTTGGGCTATGGATAGATCTGGGGTTGGCAGGCAGCCCTGAGATACTGGTATGGTTGGGAAGGGCAGTGGGTTCTCGGCTAGGATTGGTATTGGGGCTAGCAAGAGTGTCTATACTGCAGCTACGAGTGAGACTACCAGCTCGGGTAGACAGACTTACACTACTGGGCCTCGAGCTAGCGTGCTAAAGTAGCAGTGTGGATGTTGAAGTTCTGGTGGAGACTCGGACTAGCCACCTGAGCTGAGACCTAGGGGGTAGGTGATCTTAAGAGCCCAAGCTGACACCCGAGCTGCAATGTCTGCACTGCTATTTTTAGTGCACTACCGTAGCTTGAGCCTCACTAGTGTGAACTGTCTACTTGGGTTGGGAGGCCCTCTCCCCGCTGCAGTGTAGACATAGGCCAAAAGGCCCTGGGTTTGGGTTAGGTGCTAACTATGACCCTAGCTCTGGTCAATCACCTGACTCCAAACTTAACCCCAGCCCAGAACCTCTGCTAGTCCTATTTGCAGCACTGTCATGAGAGCTTCTCCTGGCCTGAATGCTAACCCTAGCCTCGGGCCATATGCTGGCCCCAACCTTAAAACCAGCACTGGGCAACCTGCCACACTGAAACCAAATCTTAGCCCAGAAACTCTTGCTAGTCCCAACCCTAACCCTAGCCCCAACCTGGGGCCCCCTCTTGGTATGAACCATAATCTGAGTTGCAGGACACCTGTTGGCCCCAACCATAGCCACAGCCCCAACCATAGCCACACAAATTTAGCCTAGAACTTCTTGCCAACCCAAACCCTATCTGTAGCACAGGGCTGCTTCCTGGTCCAAAGTTTAACACTAGCCTGGGATTGCCTGTTGGCCACAGCCCTAATCTTAGTACTGAAGCCTCTGCTAACCCTAACCTTAGTCAGGAGGCCTTTGCCTGGCCCCAACCCTAATCAAAGTCCAAAAGCTAACCCCAACCTGGAGCCCTCTGCTAGCCCTCTTAGCCCTAATCCAGAACCCTCGGGCAGCTCTAACTGTAACCCAAGCCTAGCATGCTCTTCCAGCCCAACCTTTACCACAAGGGCACCTGCTAGCCCCATCCTTAACCCTACCCAAGGGCCATCTGCCAGCCTCAAGCATAACCCTTAGCCCAGAGCCACCTGCCAGCCCCAGTGTCAACCTAGCCTGGGGCTCACTGATAACCCCAAACCTGTTTGGCTGGGGAAGCTCAAGCGGCTTATATTGCCCTGAATAATGAGCAGGCCAGAGACTATGAGGGGGTCAAGGCAGCCATCCTAGATCTAGTCAGCCTCCACCGAGAAATGGCCACAAAATTCTAAGGTGCAAGGATTATGAGGCGCTGCAGCCCCAGTCATTTGCCCAAAAGTTGATGGATTGGGCAACCTGTTGGCTGAGGCCAGACATCCAAACAGTGGGGAAGATAATGGATGCTCTGGTGTTGGAACAGTTCCCTCAGGGCCTCCCCAAGAACATACAGGTGTGGGTTAGATGGCATCAATCTGGCACTTTGGATGCGTTGGTAAAATTGACAGAGGGGTTCACAGAGGCGGAACTCCCCAGGATAGAGGGCCAACTCCATAAAGGATCAAAACGCAGAAGGAAGTTTGGGGAATCCACAGCGGCCAGGAGTGTGGAGTGGAAGAAGGAAGATCGCAGAGGAGCTCTGGCCAAGGCTCGATCCATGACATGTTTCCTGTGCAGGTGTCAGGGTCACTTAGAAAAGGGCTACCCGAACATGGAATATGGGTTTTCTGAGTTTTGCATCTGAGACAGGACTGGAAGGAAGGAAAAAAGGAAAAATTGTCCACCATTCCAGTAATGGTGAGAAGGAAATGTCAACTGGTAGACACAGTTCCCCTGATAGATAGGGCCTCTGCTTGCTCCCCAGTCTGGCAGGAGTTGGTGCAACCCTACTGGCTGGTTCCAGGGGCAAGTGTGAGAAGAGAGTGTATTCATGGAGATAAAAAGTGCAGCCCTCTGGCAGAGGTACCCTGGGAAATCTGGGGGAGGTAAGTGGAAGCAAGCTGGAGTAGTGGACAGATTGCCCCACCCCGTTGTGTTGGGTTCCAACTGGAGCCCCTTCCTATTAGGAAAACAAGGTGGTGTTGGGGGCCGCAGCTGGGGAAACAGAAAATCTGAGTGGGAGGAAATGGATCCCTACAGCAAGGGAAAAAACAAACCAGCAGGAGCAAATTTATAAATCCCTAGGGAACAGAGCCTAACACAGGTGAAAGGGGAGGAAAACAGAGTCCTGCAAGAGACTGAGCAGGAGGGGATAGTAATTAAGGAAGTAGGAATGGTGGAGAAAGACAAGCAGAGCTCCTTAGTAGAGGTTGAGGGGCCCAGGGAGTACCCCATGGTGCACCCCAAGGAGAAGCAGCTCAGGCACAGTTTGGAGGGTTGGGAGAGCCCAAGGCCCTGACTAATCGGGAATGAGGGGAGTGCCCTCGATCCCCTGCCAGGTATAAAGCAATAGAATAGGGAGAGCAACCCCTCAGGATGCACATTGTGTGATGACTTGTGGGCTGAAATGGAGCTGTGGGGACATCCTCCCCCCACCAAGCATGGGTTCTGTGGATGGAAAATGGGTGAACACCACAAGAACAACCTTGATGATAACCCTAGGGACCAAGAGCAACCCCCACAGCGTGACGCCTCTGCTAAGCAAGGGAAAGCACAGGGAAAGAAAAATCTGATTGTCAGGTAATGGGGGGAGATGGGTGTCAGAGTGCAGGGGCAACAGTGGCTGAGCCAGCATTCTGATCACTGCAACTCCAGTTAGTTGCCCCACAGCACCCTGACTATGGGCATTGTGCCCAGTTGATAAGTTGGGATGGGATGGAGAGAGTTAAAAGACTAATTAACTCATTAGCCCAAAAGGTGCAGGAAGGAAGTATGGAAGGGGAAAGAGAATGGGGGAGGGGCAGCCCCAGGCCAGCTGCCTTGTAGCATGAGTCACAAGAGATCTCTCTCCTCCTTGGCACAGGAGCTGAGGGCTCCATGGGACTGTTGATACGTTGCAGCACAGTCTGTAAAGGTTCTAGAAAAGAACGCTGTAAATGAACCGCAAGAGGTGTTTTACCAGACGAAGGTCTCTGAGACGTTTGTGGGCTAGAAAGTAGGCTGGAGCAAGTCTGCCCTGCCACAGGCTGGTAGAAGTCCCCTAGCTACAGTTACAGTTAGTTACTGGTGGTCCCAGTTTAAAGTTGGGGCTAGCAGTGCTTGCCAGGCTAGAGTTAGGGTTGGGGCCAGCATTCACCCTTGGGCTTGTGTTACAGTTGTGCTGGCAAGGAGTCCTGGGCTATTGCTAAGGTTTGTGTCAGCAGGCAGCTCACTGCTAGGGTTAGGGTTCGGTCCAAAAGGGCTCTGGACTGTGAATAGGGCTCTAATCTTAGTCCTGGGCCTCCCACAGCCCCCCCAAACCATAGTCTAGGGCCAGGTGCCAGAGACAAGACAAGCCAACCCCCCAGCCCAGCTTAGGTCTACCTCCCAGCCCCACAAAAAGTGTTCTGGTTTTTGTTTCTTTGTTTTTGTGGGATCAAAATGGAGAAGTGGTTTAAGTTAGGTTACTTATCATAGCTGGTAGGCAAAAAGAAATACCATATCAGGGATTCAATTTCAGCCACATGTTTCAAAAGCTGCAATAATGCTTAATGTAGGTTACCTATTAGCAGGTCTCACAAAGGAAATAAGGTGATGATAAAACTTTGATACAATACAATTCTTTGTCCATCAACAGATTCAGACGTACTTGCTACATTATCATCCTGTTCATCTTTTCTGCCTGCAGCATTCATCTGGGATATGAAAAAATGTTTAGCCTTCTCAGATTTGTAGACAGTAGCTTTTCGAGTTTTTAAGATCATATGTAATTTGGCAGGAAATGAAAGTGCAGTATATATACCCATTTAAAAGAAAAAGTGCTTTTAGAGATAATGGCTTTTTGACAATCATCTATGTGGCTTGGGTAACACTAGAGAGGATATGGATACACACTTCATCATGTATAATCTTTTCCTGTTGCTATACTGCAGTTATTATGTGGTCCTTATCATCTGCTTATAGAAAGGTTAATGTTAAGGTGCAGCGATATGTTGTAAATCTGTGCCAGCATTTTGAGTAGCTTGGATGGCCATATGTGTCAGAGGAATGCGTAAAGCTTTGATAATCTGTATTGGAGAAGGAAATCCTGCTCCCACTCCTCATAAATCACAACTAGAATGGGAATATGAGGGGTTCTAAAGGTTTCCCTAGGATTAACTTTTGTAACCACCTCAGTCAGTTCTCTGTATTTTCACACTGCAATTTTTGGAGATGTCTTCCAGCAGTTCAGTCTTGCAATAACACATTGGACCAGATTCTAATCTTAGTTACAGCAGTGTAACAGAGAGCAGAATTTGGTCCATTATCTTTAATTAGAACTACGGTTAGAAGTTCATCACTTTCTAGCTGGGAAAAGGGGTAAACAGTGAGGTGGCAACATTTGCAGATGATACAAAACTATTTAAGATAGTTAAGTCCAAAGCAGACTGCAAAGAGTTACAAAGGGACCTCACAAAACTGGGTAATTAAGCAACAAAATGGCAGATGAAATTCAATGTTGATAAATGCAAAGTAATGCACATTGGAAAACATAATCCCAATTATACATATAAAATGATGAGGTCTAAATTAGCTGTTACCACTCAAGAAAGAGATCTTGGTGTCATTGTGGATAGTTTTCTAAAAACATCCACTCAGTGTGCAGCGGCAGTCAAAAAAGTGAACAGAATGTTGGGAATCATTAGGAAAGAGATAGATAATAAGACAGAAAATATCATTTTGCCTCTATATAAATCCATGGTACATCCATGTCTTGAATACTGTGTGCAGATGTGATCGCCCCATCTCAAAAAAGTTACAGTAAAAACTGTATGCATGTTGGGGGGAATGGGGGGGCGTGCTGGTAAGTGAAGAATGCAGGTTAACTAAGAGAGAGGGAGTTTGGGTGCGGGAGGGAGTGCAGGGCTGGGGCATGGGAGAGCGTCCAGGGCGTGGGCTCTGGGAGGGAGTTTGGGTGCGGGAGGGGGCTCGGGGCAGGGGGTTGGGGTGTGGGAGATCCGGGGAGTGTTCACCTTGGGCAGCTCCCTGCAAGCGGCAACCTGTCCCTGCTGCTCCTAGGCGGAGGCGTGGCTAGGTGGCAGCGTGGCTAGGCGGCTCTGCACGCTACCCCCACTGCTCCCATTGGCCGGGAACCGCGGCCAATGGGAGCTGCGGGGGTGGCGCCTGCGGGTGGAGGTGTCTAAGCTCTACAGTCTACAAAAGTTATTCATAATCTTACTTGCAGAAGTTGATACTCACTGGTAAGATAGAGAGACAAGATGGGTAAGGTAATATCTTTTATTGGACCAAATTCTGTTCTTTTTCTTCTGAAGAGCTCTGTGTAAGCTTGAAAGCTTGTCTCTCTCACCAACAGAAGTTGGTCCAATAAAAGATATTACCTCACCCACCTTGTCTTTCTAATATCCTGGAACCAATATGGCTACAACAACACTGCAAACAACTGGATAAGTTAACATTATATGGGTCAAATAGTAATAAAGAAAGATGAACAAGTAGTGAGATAGGAAAGCACAAGCGAAGATTGTGTTAGGGGCATAGTGAATACAATTGGGTTGTTTGTCTGAGTGTAAGAAATTTCTTGGAATTTAGATTTCATGGAGCATGTGCAAGACATTGTGAGCTAAAAGAATAACACTAGAAACACTATGGCACATGGTAAGAGCTGTATCTTCTGCTTTCTAGAAATGTTTGATAGAAGCAATACTTTGCTATTAATCATTTCCCTTGTGTTATTTTCAGGGAAACTTTATGGTAATGAAGATTTTGTGGAGGAACGACACAGGCATCGGTATGAGGTAAGGCATTGCTAATATAATTTATATTGTAGAGAATTTATAGCATTGGCAAACTATGAAGAATTTATTTAATCTGAAGTCAATGGGAGTTTTCCTGAATAAGGGTGAAGCAAGGCTTTAGGGGGTTGGTATAATAGTAGGTACTATTTAGATGTACTTCAAAGGGTTCTGTAGTTTGCAGACAATGTTGCATTTTAGGAGACCCAGCTTGAAGAGTGATACTGGATTTAATCCTTCTCCCAGTGAAGTTAATGGTAAAACTCCCATTGATTTCATTGGGAGCAGGATTAGGTGTACTGCTTCTCAGGCTGGTTGAGCTCAGATAATTCACATAGGTAACAGATTTGTCTCTAAGATGAGGTAACTGCAGCTTATTGTATGAGCCCCTCCTGTCAACAGACTTTCAGAGTGATCTTAGGGGAAGCCGCACTTATGCTGTGCAGACTAGAAGAGAAGCATCACAAGGGGAGATGGCTTATGAGAAATGATTTGATTGGTTACTTGAATAAAGTTATAGGGGACTGTTAGGCCTCCATCTATATCAGTGAACACCAGCACAATAGGGGAGGTAATCACATTTGTGTGACTCTGAGTAGCAAGTACTAATGACAAAATAAAAAGAAGAATGTTGTCTCCTGGCTGCACTGCTCTGATAGCACTCCTGTTCTGCAAACCATGTTCAGTTCATGCTGCATGCCCTGCAAAAACTACACATTTATTGTACCTCTCTGTGATGGGATATACAAACCCCACCCAGGGCCTGAAGGGGTTTAAAAGCAATACTGGGCCCTGGCTGCCCTGTGCCTCCAGACCTGCCGAGCATGCTCCGCCTGGAGGATTGGGTTAAAAGGAGCTCAGCCAAAGGGTGGTGAACAGACTGTAGCAGAGAGGAATCCTTCTCTGGGAAGCCAGACAGAAGAGTGAGCCTGAGAGAGGGCCACAGAGTGGGCAAGGCCCACAGGCAGAGCCTTTGCCAGCTACCACCCTCTTTAAGAACCAGCAAGTCTGGCAGAGCCCTGCTCTTTTGGATTCTTCTGGTGTAAGGGGATTGACTGTTCATTTGGACTATAGGGGCATGCTACAAACTGAAGGGACCTATAGGTAGGAAGTGCCTCAGGGGAGCAACTTAGACTTACTGCAGGGAGGACTCTGCCGGTGTCACTTTCTCACAGGTTCCCCTACTATATCCTCTTAAGGGCCTATAGCTTGACGTGGGTGGGAAGCCAAAGATCCCTGGCTTAAGATCAGGAAAAGATACCTCTGCTGCCCTGAGAGAGAGGCAAAGGGCTGGAATTTGGGTACACTAACTACTAGGCTGCCCAGCCCACTGAGCCCCTTGTACACTCTCTCTTGCCTAATGATCAATAACTATTATTCTACCAACCATGCAATGTAGTAACACTCCTTATTAATAGCAAAATAATAAACACGATGTAGTTCAAATACAAAAAAAACCCACCCCCAAACAACAACCCCCCACACGTCCAAACCTTACTTAAAATTGCACAGCTCCTTAGGGCAAATAATGCTGAAATCAAGTATAGGAAATAATGAGTTACAGGAACACTGACAAGCCACATAGGGCAGAGTTAAGGTTGGTTGGGTATCAACTTGGTGGCTGAGGTTGTTAAATGTTAATTTGCTTGGGAAAGGAATATCCTATATTTGTGAGTATCTGTGGGTATGTATGTGTGAGAAGGTGCTGTATGAAGTTGTTTATTCTAGGTATTATGAGTCATGTGGGTTTTACTTGGGCATTGTTTTCCTTTAGGACTTCAAGTGTTCACCAACTTACTGTTTTAAGGTTGACTATATTAAAGAAACATACTTGCTTATTAGCTACATAATACATGTTTTAGAATATTAACCATGCTTGATACAAATATAGTATACTAGTAGGAGCCATTTTAGTATTTTGGATGTATTTCACATTTTAAAAAAATTGTTTAATTACATATTACGTAAGAATCACCAATTTTACAAATTTCCACTGCACAATTTTTAAACAAGGGATAATTCCCAGCCCCCACTTTCCTACATATATATTTAAAAATTAAAACTTATCTACCTTTGTTAACTATGTAAATACTACAATAATTACTACCCGTATTTTTCAATTTTCCAGGTAAATCCAGAATTGACTGGCTGCTTTGAAGAGAAAGGTTTGAAATTTGTTGGCCGTGACACAGAAGGGAGTAGAATGGAGATCATTGAACTGGAAAGTAAGTAGCTCAGTTTTTTTGTAACACCTTCTGCATATATTAAATAAGTGAGAACATTATTAGAGTGAACTGTATATAAAAACATTACTAACTAAGCCAAAAATGATTCTTGTATCCTATGACTGCTCTAGTACAAAGGGACGAGGCTCCAACCAGAATATGTTAGGAACCACTCCCCTCCATTTTTCTTCTAGGACGATACGTACAATGCAGTGTCAAGGAGTCATGCGGCTCTCTTCCAAAAGGCTGACATCCTAGCTCAACAACTCCTGACCACATCAGAATACGCAGGTGGCAAGGTGTTTGCCAAACCAATAGATAAGGTAGTGGCTGAGGCATCAAAAAAGCCAAATAACTTCTTCCCCTCAAACAGGTAGTCTGGAAGGGATTATTGCCTTTACTGAAGAGCAGATAGCCTTTTTGCGGCTATTAATTGTCCAAATAACTCTGAATAAACTCAATAAAGGGAGTGCCAGATGGGATTCTTGCTACCATTCTACCTTTAACCCACAACAAAACACACAACTCCTTTATGTGTCTCTTCCCTGAAACCAAGGAGAACCACTGTCTAGAAAGCAAGCTCTGTTCCTTCACAAAGAAGTTAACTATTTTTACTTCAAACAGGTGGGTTTTAGCAATATGGATACTCAGTAGATTTGGATTACTACACCAAATAAGATTTATTTTCTCCCCTATGGCAAGGACCTCCAGAAGACACAAAACATAAAGGAGAAATTATTCTGCAGATTGACTTGACTTTACTTTGTTGAATTTTAACATTGTACTGCCAGGAGGGATAATAGCTCTCTTCTTCTTTTGAGCCCCTTGCTAATTCATCCCTATTTTAAGTCACTGAGTCTAATAAATGTTAACTGTTAGCTAAAATTTCAGCCATTATATACAGAATCAAAGTTAAAGGCAAATTGTTATTGGACAGAACACTGTTTCTGAAAGGATTCTCTGGAGACATGAATGGTGAATTAATTTTACACACCATAATGTGTTATTCAGGCTTCCAAAATACCTTTCAAGTGGGATATTATAAACTGCTAAAACACAAGGTTATATTTCTGTTTCTGTCAAAGAAGAAAGCTTTAATTCTGAACCAGAGTTTGAATGAAGATGTATTTCTATCATGTCAAACATCTGCAGTGTAGATTGCCACTAAGGTGTACATCAGCTTTCATAATCAAATAACTCTCATGGTAATTTTTTGTATAGTTTGTTCCTGCTACACCTGCTGATAATTGGTATTAGAAGGCTATTTCATTTGCTTTGGATGAAATGATTTATGTAGGGAGCATAATGAAATAGGGCAGGGTTTTTAAATTATATGTTACTACGAGAGGAATAAGAACAGCAGTAAAACCTGGAATTATTTCACAATGGTTTGCAAAGGGGCTCTGATCACTGAAGGGGAAAAACAATCCCCTCAGGGGAGTTAGAGATTGGGAACAGAAATATATTCTACCAAATAGGGTAGGCAAAGCATTTCAGAAGAATATCCCTACAGATACTATTTTGATGTCTTGCAATAATCTTGTTTTGCTGCTTTTACAATATAGCATGGTTCCCTAAAAGAAACAAGCAATGGAACCAGATTCCTTTAAAACATATAAAACTACCAGATTTTCATTGTTATAGGAAAACATGCTTTTCCTGTAACCACCTTGTTGACTGGTGCGAGACTCAGCTGAGAATACCAAATTCAGGACAGACTGATAAAAATAGGGCAGACACACCCAAACCTGGTGGCTATTCTAACATTAGATGTACCAAGCCAGTAACTGAATGAGGTTCTGTAGCACCACACTGGTCAACAAGAAACTAACAACACAGCCCCCTTTGACAACCAGCCCTTATCACCACCCAGACATCTGATCTTTATGATGAGACGTTACTGAAAACCATGTTCATCATATATAAAGTTCTTCCAATCCCAAAAGATCAGCCACCTCCCCAGGTCAATATATAACTCAGATCTTACCCAACATCAAGCTGATGCCAGTCCATTAGTAGCTAAAAACTAAAGGTTTAACAACATAAAAAGAAAAAAAGTTCTTAAATGGTTAAGAGAATCAGATATATTACAAGTGATTTTCAGAATCTGTAGATCAGGATCATAGCAGTGATGTTGAATCTACTAGGTTGTAAACAAAAAATCTCTCTGGTTCACCCAAGCAGGTCAGGGGTCATTCAGTCGTATGTTCAAAGCTTCCTTAGAAAATCACAGTGCAGAGATGAGAAGCAGGAATGAAGACAAAGCAGTGATGTCACAGATTGCAAATTTTAGCTCAACTCTTGCATGGAAAGTTACTGGCCAATATGGAGTCCCGGATCACATGAGCATGGAAAGTTACTTGCAAAAGATGGAGTCTTAGTTCACATGTCCTCATCACATGTCCTTACATGCTTTGCTGATTCATATGGGTAGCCATTGGCTCCACACTGTCTGTGGCATCTTCAGGAAGGGCTCACTGAAGAGCTGATTCCTGTCAATGGCCCATCACCATATGGATGGCCCATCAACCAGTGATGGCTAGCCTGAATGTAAATTTGTCTGTGGGGTATAAGCCAGGAGCACAACCCATGTTTGAGATACAAATACATAGCAAGTATTCATAACTTCAGATACAAAGATGATATATGCATATAAACAGGATTATCATATTTAGCAGATTACAGCTTTTCCATTGATACCTTACATGGCATGCTTTGCAGTGATATATTAGTGATTGTAAAAGTAGTGTACACCTGGTTTTCAATGTCATAGGAAAACATACTTTTCCTGTAACCACCAACTCTATGATAATGCAGCGGAACTCACTGGAACTGGAAACTGTTTTGGAAATTGTTGTACCAGAAGAGAGCAATGATCAATATAGTCCAATGTCCTGTCTCTGATAATGGTCAATGTTAACTGCTTTAGGGCTTTAATAGCAGCATCCTTGTGGGAGAAATAGGTGTATGGAACAGGAATGTCCTAAAACATTTCCCCTTACTTTCTTTCAAATAGTAACTTTACCTAAATGCTCAGATTTAAACTAGAGAGACAAGGTGAGTGAGGTAATATATTTTTTTGGACTAGCTTCTGTTGATGAGGACAAGCTTTCGAGTTTCCCAGACCTGAAGAAGAGCTCTGTGTAAGCTTGTCTCTCTCACCTATAGAAGTTGGTCCAATAAAAGATATTACCTCACCCACCTCATCTCTCTAATATCCTGGGATCAGTACGGCTACACCAACATGCATACAACAATGGGAGATATAAACTAGACGCATCTTGCTTCAACATAAGCACACTATTCTATTTTTAAGAGAAACATATACCTACTCTATTTTTATGTTGGCTTTAGAAAGTCAGTGCTGCTACTCTATTACTTTCAGTGTTTATATTGAATGTGATAAACTACTATTTATAATATATGTTCATTGTCTTCTCTGTCACACACAAGCTATAGTAAGGGTCATTATCATGTATAGCTGCACAGCCTTAGAGTAGATGTGGCTATTAGTGCTAGCATCAGCAGTGCCTTTGACCATTTTCTTTGCTACAGTCCAACAAATAGACCTGGTGTCTTCAGGTGATCTTAAGCTCTCCAGATGTTTTTCTAACATGACCACTTAATGTTCTTTAATTACATGATCACATACTAGTTTTTCCACAGGACCCCTCCTCATTCAGTGAACAGAATGGACAGTGCTTACTGAATCGGCATATTTTGTTTGCTTTTCATTGTTCATGGACCAGGCCTTATTTTCTGCACACTATCCAAACCCTGCTCTGAAGACAGAAGTATTAATTTCCTCAAGGACTTTTCTGTGGTGCTCATTGCTGTAATATCAGAGTGATCCACAAATATTAATGTATCTTCATGACACTCCTGTGAGGTGAGGGATGGCATTTCCATTTTGCAAATGGGGAGATGAGGCACAAAGGTTAATCGTGCATATCCACTAATCAAGCTGAGACACTTAGAACTTGATTTTTCAGAGTAACTTAGCATTAAATAGTACTTGCTCAAAGCACAGCCCCATTGCCTTCAGTTGCAGCTGTGGGTGCTCATCACTTCTGCAAATCAGACTGTACAGTCTCAAGTAAGGAACCCAGGAAATAAGTGACCACCTGTGAAAATTTTGGTTTAAGTGACTTGCCCAGCAAGCCATGGAAACTCTGTGACAGAGGCAGGGATAGAATCCAGTTCTTCAGGGCAGCATTCAGCTGTCCTCCCCATGAGACCAACGAAGCAGGGATCCTACAGAGCCTCCTTCACTACACAACCGTGATTCAGTCTCAGAGCAGGTCCATCCCTTCATTGAATGAGGCAGGGGTCCTGTGGAAAAAACAGTATGTGATCATGTAATTAAAAACTGAATCAATGCATACACATGGGATGAATGAATTAAGGTCACACAATTCCCATTTACCAGTCAGAATTCCCCATCAGGAAAAAACAGAGTTCTCCTTAGAGGAAAAAAAAAAAAGTCTTCTCCGTTAGTAGTGACCATACTTATTGCAATTAATCCTTATATTTCTATTCTACAGTATTTTATACCAAAGGTTGCAGGTCAGTAGTACACACAACTGGGACATCTGATCAGCTCCTTTGTCCTACTTGAAAAGATTGAGTAAATATATTCTCTGGAGCTAGTCAGGAAAATACCAACAAAACATTTTGTCAGAATTTGCCCTTTTGTTGAATTCAAACCATTTCACAGAGATGATTTCCTGACAGCTTGTCCACCTGACTCCACAGCAGGCTGATGGGGAGCCAAGAGCCAGGGAACCCTGGCTCTGAGCTTTGCAGCTTCTTAGTAGCCCAGGCTTCCAGCGTCTCCATGGCTTTGGGGCAGCCCGTCACGCAGTCTGCGTTGGAGTCAGGTACCTCAGGGCTTCTAGGTTCTGCAGCAGCCTACCACACAGACTACACCTGAGCCTGAGCTCCATTCCCTTGTGTGGATAATTACAGTATTTTGGGATTGTGTTCCAAGTCAGAATGAAACCAAATATCAAAATCCTCCGCAAAATGGGGTCATCATTCTCTTCCTATTTCCAGCCAGTGGGCCTTCTTGACACTTACTTATTTCAGTGGGAGTTGAAGGCACTCAGCAGCTTGCAGGATCTGACAGTTTATTATGCACACTGTGCTTAGATTTATGTGTATCTGTACATGCACACAAAATATGTAGAGACTAAACTACAGTGTAAATATGAGAGATAAGCCTAAGCACACTCGGTGCATTCTAGTGATTTCATTGTAAATATGGGAATGAAATCACGAGTGGCTTGTGCTATTATTGGCATTCAGATCTGCATATTACAGCCTGTATAGCTGTATTCAATTTTCCTTTGTTGTATTTAATCAAAGAATATTAAGATCTTTTTCCCCATTAAATTCATATGAAATTATAAGATTTGGAGAGGTATTTATGAAACCTTGAGTGTCCTGTGTTAAATCTTTTTCCTTATAAAGTAGCTTTATTAAGAACTCTCTTCTATTTTCTAGCCTTTACCATTTTCTTTATGCCCTTTGGATTTTAGATCACCCATATTTTGTTGGTGTCCAGTTTCATCCAGAGTTTTCCTCGAGACCTATGAAGCCCTCACCTCCATACCTTGGTCTCTTGCTTGCAGCAACTGGGACACTCAGTGCATACTTGCAACGTGGATGTAAATTGTCTCCAAGGTAATGTTATTATTTTCTTGTTTGCCTACAGTTTCAGCAGGACTATCCTTTATTGATACAATAAATCAGGAAGGGAAGGGGGCTTTTTTATATTGATTTTTATTACATTTATGAGAAATCCTGACTCCTGATTGGCTAAAAACAGTCATTTGAAGAGCCATATCTCTGTATTTTTCCTCCTCGGAGACTAACAATAGTAGGATCAGAAACAATAAAGTACTACAGTAATGAAATGCAAATAAGTACATCCTGACTGGCTGCAATCAGTTCCAGGAAAATTATTTCTCACCTCACAGGAGGTGTGTGGCCCTCTAACTTCACCTGTGTTAATGGTTATTTTACCTGGAAAAAGGTCTGCTGGCAGCTCATGCAGTTAAGTGAAGTTCTTACCTATCTGTATGTGAACGATCATAACAATGAAACAGTGAATGTCAAGGTTATTTTGTTGCAGCGAGGTAATAATATTGAGCAAGCAGAAAAAGGCCCAAAGCAAAACCCAAGTTTGGGGAGGATTTGAACCTAGGTCATAATTTTGTGGCTGAGCCAAACCAAGATCTCTGATCCCAACAGCCCCAGACCTGTCTCTGTAACCAAGATAAAGTTCCTGGGACATTTCATTTTTATAGCAATACTTTTCAGCCTGTGTTAGTTAATTCATATTTGTAAAATGCTTTAATGATCAAAGATGCCATGTTAATAGTAATAATTATAAAGAGCATGTGAGGCCAGGGGAAACCTAGGGTAAAATGGCAAAGCTTCTCAAAATATAGACCACTGTAAGATAACCTACTCAGATCCAACTTTGGATCCTGAAAGCAAAGTGCGCAACTTACCAGTTTTGCTTTTTTTCCCGAAGACTCAATAGGAACATAATAATTACCAAGCCAAATCAAACTGCTAGTATTCTGATTCTAATAGTTTACAGCAGATCTTTCAGATGCAAGTGAACTTCAACTCTGATGGTCCTGGCCATTGTATAATAATGTACATATAGGGAAAAACTCCTTCCTGACTTCTGCAGGCCATCTCTTATAAATCATCATATTCAAATACACCTTTACCCCGATATAACGCAACCCGATATAAACGAATCCGGATATAACGCAGTAAAGCAGTGCTCTGGGGGGGCGGGGCTGCGCACTCCGGTGGATCAACGCAAGTTCGATATAACGCGGTTTCACCTATAACGCAGTAAGATTTTTTGGCTCCTGAGGACAGCGTTATATCGGGGTAGAGGTGTATTACCTTAATAGGGCTGTCAATTAATCGCAGTTAACTCATGTGATTAATTTTTTTATTCGCGGTTAAGTTTTTTGAATTAATCGTGATTAATCGCACTTTAAGCAATAGAATACCAATTGAAATTTATTAAATATTTTTGGATGTTTTTCTACATTTTCAAATATATTGATTTCAGTTACATCACAGAATACAAAGTATACAGTGCTCACTTTATATTATTTTTTATTACAAACATTTGCACTGTAAAAATGATAAAAGAAATAGTATTTTTCAATTCACCTCATACAAGTACTGTCGTGCAATCTCTTCATCATGAAAGTGCCATTTACAAATGTAGATTTTTTTTCTTACATAACTGCACTCAAAAACAAAACAATGTAAAACTTTAGAGCCTACAAGTCCACTCAGTCCTGCTTCTTGTTCAGCCAATGGCTAAGAGAAACAAGTTTGTTTACATTTATGGGAGGTAATGCTGCTCGCTTCTTATTTACAATGTCACCTGAAAGTGAGAACAGGCGTTCGCATGACACTGTTGTAGCTGGCGTCACAAGATATTTACGTGCCAGATGTGCTAAACATCATATACCTCTTCATGCTTCAGCCATCATTCCAGAGGACATGCTTCCATGCTGATGATGCTCGTTAAAAAAATAATGCATTAATTAAATTTGTGACTGAACTCCTTGGGGGAGAATTGTATGTTCCCTGCTCTGTTTTACCCTCATTCTGCCATATATTTCTTGTTATAGCAGTCTCGGATGATGACCTAGTACTTGTTCATTTTATAAACACTTTCACTACAAATTTGACAAAATGCAAAGAAGATACCAATGTGAGATTTCTAAAGATTTAAGAATCTGAAGTGCCTTTCTAAATCTGAGAGGGATGAAGTGTGGAGCATGCATTTAGAAGAGCAACACTCTGATGCGGAAACTACAGAACACGAACCACCAAAAAAGAAAATCAACGTTCTGCAGGTGGCATCCGATTCAGATGATGAAAATGAACATGTCAGTCCACACTACTTTGGATTGTTATCGAGCAGAACCCGTCATCAGCATGGACGCATGTCCTCTGGAATGGTGGTTGAATCATCAAGGAACATAATCTTTACCGCATCTGGCATGTAAATATCTTGTGGCGCTGGCTACAACAGTGCCATGCAAATGCCTGGTCTCACTTTCAGGTGTCATTGTAAACAAGAGCAGGCAGCATTATCTTCTGCAAATGTAAACAAACCTGTTTGTGTGAGCGATTCCCTGAAGAAGAAGTAGGACTGATTGGACTTGTAGGCTCTAACGTTTGACAGTGTAGAAAATGTAGAAAATATCCAAAATATTTAAATAAATGGTATTCTTTTATTGTTTAACAGCACGATTAATTGCAATTAATTTTTTAATCGCTCGACAGCCCTATTTGTTAACCATTGCTACAAATGTTATAAGAGGCATGGTCATAACATTATCTATCCCGTTTTCAAATTCAGAGTTTCATTTGATGGCCTCCTGTAGTAGTGCATTACACAGGTTATCTATAAATTGGAAAGGGAAGTACAGTTTTATTGGTTCTAAATGAAATGTCCTTTCATTTCTTTAAAGTGCCCCTTTGTTCTCAATGCGTAAAGGAGCGTGGTGTATGTCTCTGGCATGGTAAAAGAACATTTAAAAAATTCAAAATCTACTAATCAGCCATTCCAACTATTGATCATCCTAGGGGATATTAAGTATACTAGTAAATGAAAGGGTATTTCTGAAAAAGTACAGACTATTAGGGAGATGCCAGAGAAAAACAAACAGACAATTCTGAAAATAGAAAACAAATGTGATTCTTGACAATTGCCATCCTATACATATATTTTCTCTCTTTTACAAAGATTAAGTAAAAGAAATCACTAAACATTTAGGGCCAGATCCTCAGCTGGTGTAAATTGGAGTATATCCATTGGCTTCAGTGCAGCTATGTCAGTTTACAGCAGCTCTGATCCCTAAATCCAAAAGGGTCCATGAGCAATAAGCATCATGGGTTTATAAAGAATAAATATTTACAGACAAAATATTTGATTATAAAGCTTGTAGATGAAGAGAGAACTTCAGAAGTAATATATTTGGATTTTAGTAAAGAATTTGGTACTGGGTCTTGTGAAATCTTGCTTGAAAAAGTAGTAGAAATTAGCTAATGTCATGTTGGTTATAAAGCCACTGAAGTACAATAAACTAATTAGGGAAAAAAAGCAGCACCATGTAAAGTTGAAAGAAGGTGTCTAATGGGAAACCACAGGAATCATCAGGCCTGGTCTTTTCTAATAACTTCATTAATGGGTCTGGAGCAGGGGGGTAACAATAAATTAATGACACTTGCAAACAATACTAATTTAGGAGGAATTGGAAACACCAGTCAGGGCATAGGAATGGTACAAAACGACTTGGACAGTTTAGAAACATGAGTTGAAAAGAATGAAATGAGATTCCACTTGGAAAAATGCAGAGCAGGGGAGTAACCATCCTTCTCTACCTAGTTCTGAAGTATTCCATTAAATTCTGATAACCACATTAACAGAAGAATATTGACAAGTTAGAGGGATTGAGAGAAGAAAAAAGTAAAAACTAACCATATGTAGTTTAGCTAAATGACACTTAAGGAAGGGATACAATATCCAAATATCTGAAGGGTGCAAATATGAATGGGCCAGAGACTCCTCTACCCTTCCAAAAAAAATGACCATTGACTTAGCGGAGGTCTGGTGGGGGGTTGTTGGAGAGTGAGCCTGCCCCACGGAAGGAGCTCCTGTTCCATGGGGCTGGGCCCAGCTCCCCACTCTAGGCGTTGTGATTTGGCATGTGGCGTCACAGCGCCATTTGGTTTGGGGGCCTTCTCAAACAGGGGGCCCAGGGCAAACTGCCCCTTTTACCTCCCTCCTGCCCTGGGCAGCCTTGTGAATGGGGAGGAATTACTTAACGGTTACCACTGGGAATAATGGAATGAAATTAAGAAAGGGAGAATTGAGACTGAATATCAGCACGAACTCTGATGACAAGATATATCTGGCTCTGCAATAGTCTCCCTAGAAAAGTGGTGGAAGCTCCTTACTTTGCACACTGTAGTAGGCAATACACTGATAGTGTAAAGTAGGAAACAATCCAGCATTGGCAGGGAAAATAGCTGAATAGGAAGTTAGGAACTGCATCACAGGAAGACTGGCCTCTATAAGGGGAAAGTGGCTGGTCTCAGCTGTGCCGTAATTAACTATATCCCAGCCTGAGGCGGGTGGGGCTAATGGGAGCAGGTATTAGTATGATGAATATGTGGGCCTCATAACAAGGCTTGAGAGAGAATATTTAGGAGGAGGAAGCCATGTGAAAGACCCTGCGGTCAGGTCTATAAGAAGCAGGGAGGTCCCTGGGAGAAACTGCCAGAGTCCCTGTAGAGGGAAACAGTGGGAAACCTGCTAGGAGGAAAAAAGCCACTAGGGAGAAAGCTGTGGAGAGCAGTGCTCAGTTTAAGGTGCAAAGAAGAACTTTGCAGAGCCTGGGCGTAGGGATGAAGAGCAGGGAATGTCAGAATAACCCAAGAGAGGCAGAAGAACCATTTGTTTGGATGTTTATTTGAATTTTCAGTTGGACTGTTGTAATACCAGAAGGGGACTGAACTGGCTGGAGGGCTGGGCCAAGGAAGCCACAGACCACTGCAGAACCAGAATGGCAGACACTAGGGGGTGTCAGAGGGGAACTACCCTTGCAATGCCAAGTCCTGGTTTCAGGGGATGCTCTCGTGGTGTTCCCCTCCCCCTGCCAATTATAAACTACTAGATCAGTTCAGACCAATGGTCTGTCTAGTCTAGTACCCTGCCTCTACCAGTGGCCAGCACCAGATGCTTCAAAGGAAGGTGCAAGAGACCCTGAAGTGGACAATTACAGGAAAACCTATAGGGGAAGTTCCTTCCTAATCCTAATGAGTTAGGAGTAGATTCTCAAAGAGGACATAAGCATTGCAACACTAACTCCTAGGTGTCCTGCAGTCTGCTAGAATTCTCAACCCTGACTTAGGCACCCAGACTCCCTGTGCACTGAATGGGGAGCGTTAAGCTAGCCAGGAGTGAGATGTAGGGGTGGGGATTAGGGCCCATATGCATAAAGGGATTTTGGTACCTAACTCCTATTGAGCTGTGCCTTAGGCACTTGTCTGTGCTTTAGATTCTTAGCCATGAACTTTTTCCTGGAGCGAGGTGTCTAAGCCAAGTCAGCCATTTCTTACAAAAAACAGAGACTCCACCCCCTTATAGTCAGTAGTCAGCACACTCACCCAGGATGTGGGAGAGCCAGGTTCCAGTCCTTGCTCCAATGAATATTTAAGTACTTATGCAAAGTGGAACAGCTTCAACAGAAGCAATTGAATGAGCCATCCTCCAGAACAGCCCATAGCCCAATGGTTAGGACACTCACCTGGGATGTCAGGGAGCTGGATTCAAGTCCTTGCTCCAAATCAGGCAGAGTGGGAATTCAGACTGGGGTCTCCTACATCCCAGATAAGCACCTTCGCTATTGGGTATTCTAGACATACAGCTGCACACCCCAGCCAGTTTGAAAAATTCCTGCCCTGCTTTCTGCCCCCTTTTGTAGAGGTTAGGTGTGCTCTGAGCATGCCTAGTGGATCAGGCCTGGCAGGTGATATAGTTAGGGGAACACCTAGTTTGAGAATCTTTCTGGGGCTTAGATGTCAGCAAGAGCTCCGATCAGCTTGTTAGCTGTGAGATGGCATCAGGAGTTAGGCAGCTTTGTAGGTGCTGACTGGTGGAAATGGAGCCTTATAGGGTTAGGTAGCAGTTTTGTGAACGTTAGTGTACTTAAATGTTGGTAGTCAGGCACCTAAGTCCATTTGTGAATTGAACCTTTAGGTATTGACTTAGCAGTGTGCTTAGTTAGTTAGTGGTTGACTGAAGTCTGAGGGTTCTATCCTTTCTAAATGCGTTTTAACCATCTAATGTAACTGGACATTTTCATTACCCATATAACAGTCTAATGCTTTTTAGAGTCCTGGCTTCTGTAGTAGTATTACTAGGCAATTTGCCTCAAAGGCATCTGAAAACCCGGAAGCAAATCACAACCTTACCTGCTTCCTCCTTGCTCTGGGAAGGAATTTTGCCTCAAAGGTGTGTCTCTGAGTCACACTGCCTCTCAGGTCTACTCCTGGGGTGGTCTCCTTTGCTCAGGGCTGTGCCCAAAGGCAATGTCTAGCCCCGTGGAAACAGTGACACCATTGGTATAATTCCTAGTGTCTGAAGAGTTCTGGGCAAAATAAGACACAAAAGGATTGATTTTTTTCTGCTGTGTAGTGGAGAGAGGGGAACAGCCGATTGCTCCCTGATTTTCAGCTGCCCTGCCCTGGTGTAAGTTAAAAGGGGCAGCTTTAATTTCTGTCATTGACATAAGATTCTTCGGAGACCTCTCGCCATTGGAGAATGGGGCACATTAGAACCTTGTTTTTCCACACCTTCTCCCCACCCCTACCTTCCATTATGCCAAGAGTGGAGATTTCAGCGGTGCCTCCCCCACCAGCTCTTCTGCTGGTGGAGATTCCTGCTACACACGGGGAATTCTCCAAGGGAATCTCCAGCTGGCTTAAATTTGATCTGCATCACAGCAGATTATGTCTTGTTTAGACATGATCTTAACTCCCTGCCCCTGTAGCAGCTGAGAAACATCAGTGGGGTGACACGCTGCAGCTTACATTCATGCCCCATCACCACATGAACACATCCAGATGATCTAAATAGTAACACGAACAGGAAATCCTCTCCTCTTAGCTGCACCTAGGCACTACATTGGCTGATACATGATGGTATGTGAGGGGAAAACAGATGTACACTAACTAGAATAAACAGATGGGGACACCCCAGGGCTCTAAATGTGGGTGAATTTGGTGCTAATGGAACTCTTGCTTGAGTGCTGGGGGAGGAGAATGAGGCTGGATCCATCCTGAAAAAGTCTGTATAAAAAACCTGCTCCTACATAAGAGTGTTTCTGCTTGCTACCGTTTGGGAATATCTGTCCCCCAGCTCTTGCCCCAAGTGATATTTCATTTTATTGTAATTCACTGATATTTTTTTAAGTCAAATTTTGCCCTAAATTACCTCCTGTTCAATCAATCAATCCCAAAAGATAATTTGAACCTTAATGTTCACATCCGACAGGCAGGATAAGATGGAGTAGCTAAACATAACAAGCAGGTGTTAGTGACAATAGGGCTCTGAGGAAATGTTCTTGCTCAAAGCTAATGGCATCATTTTGTTCCAAGAAGTCTTTACTTTTTTAACAATTACTTAAAGCCATAAAAGGCCTGATCCAACTCTCACTGAGTCCATTACAATATTTCCTTTGACTACTGTGGGAGTTAAATTGTGGCCAAAGTGACTGACAGAGTCTTCACCATTATTATTTCCAAGGCCCAAAGGTTCTGTTCTGAGAGCTGAAGTTTGACAAGATATAGAGACCCCATCTGCTCTCCCGTTTTCTCTTGACCATGCCCTCACACTCTGGATGTGCAGAGGGGGGGTGGCATAGAAGCTGCTACAGTGGCCCTACACAACTCTATCATTCCTCCTTGTGGTGGGAATATGGTGTTGCCAAAGCAGCACAAACCAAGTGAAGCAAGTGGGATCTTGCTTAGCTCAGGGCACACAAACTGAAAGAAACCCCATGGAAGGAAATAAAGACATAGTTTTTTTCAGTGAGAGATCACTTCAGTGGACAAAAGTTTCTTAAAGGAAAAACCGTGCTTATTTGATTTTCCCACCACTTTCTTAACCAGAAAACTTCAATGAGATTTATATAATGTATTTAATATTAGCCACCCCCAAGCACAAATAGCTATTTAATCTTTATGTGTAATATCGCTGCAGCATTTCAATGCAATTTGAAAGGCAATACACGCTTGTTCCTAAGAGAGGAGATTACTCTTTGCTGGATAATACAACCCTGAGACTCTGTACAGATTTTTTCCAGTATAATACATTTCATATTATAGTAAATCTTATAAACTTGACGCAGCTGCTGCCTGGAAAGTTTTAAATCTTTTTTGAAGCAAGACAAAAATCCTTAGCTTTTTAAAATTAACAGTATATATGCTGGGTGGAGAAACAAAAGATAGGGCACGTTTCCTCAAACTAATAAAAGTTCCAATATTTGCAAGTGCTAATAGAAAACTTAAAGGCTAATTGTTTAAGTGGTGTTATCATAACATGGCAAAACACTGCAATTAATTACTGTACTTGAAAATGTTCTGTATTATACTGTATTAAACGCATAACTGTTTTAATAATACAGAGTTTTTATTCCATGCTTCCTTGGGCACATTCAGAAAGAAGTAAGTACAATGGCAATGATGCTCTGATGAAACTGTGTGTGTCTGTGTGCATTTGGCATGCTTGACCATATTGTTAGCAACACTTTCCTTCACTATAGCTGGTGCATGTTGGTAATGTAATTGTTCCCCACATATTAAAATCCTCAGGTTGATCATGTAGTTAGTCCTATATGACCCTCTCTTTTAACAAGGTTAATCAACCACATACATATAACACGAAGTACAGAAAGTTATAGGTTAAGACTTAGGGCATGTCTACACTTGCCATTTAAACTGGAAAAAGTTCCTTTTTTGTGCAAAAACCGTTGGAGCGTCTACACTTGCCAATGACTTTTTGTGGTGAAACTCAGAAGTTTCACTGCAAAAAGAAAACCACCTCCATGAGAGGCATACAGCTCTTACCAGTGATGCTTTTCCGGTGATGTGCAAGTGAAGGCACATTCTCCCTGTTTACAGAGCTTTTAGCCTCCAGAGGATATCCCACAGTGCCTAGGTGACCATTCTGGCCAGCAGCTCTGCTGCTCTGATGCCAGGTAAACAGACATCCACCCCTTACCCCTGTAAAGCCCTGGGAACTTTGAAACTCCCCTTCATGTTTTCTTGGCAAGTGCTCACTTATCATCTGGCCAGGTGACAATGCCTGCTCCACGGAGCAAACAATCTCCTGCTTGAAGCAATGCTGAGTTACTGGAGTTTGATCAGTGTTTGCGGAGAGGAGGCTGTGTAGGGACCCAGGATGCCCTACGATCACCCCCCCCCTTCCCACAAGACCCATCGTCGAAATGGAGAGAGCTGCACTGTGGGATAGCTGCCCTAGAATGCTGCTCTCATTGGCGATGGAAGTGCTGCTAATGTAAACACTCTCTGACGCCTGAGGAATTAAGCGTGTACACAAACCAGCGCTTTACTTTTACCGATTCCCTATCACTGGTGAAACATACAGCGCAAAAAATCTGCAAGTGTTGACATACCCTTAGTAAATGTGAAAGCAACTGAGGCTTGATCTACACTTAAAAATATACTGGCGTAGCGATATCCCTCAAGAATATGAAAAAAAACACAACCCCAAGCGACAGAGTAATGCTGACAAAAAACCCCATGTAGATGCGGCTATGCTGAAAGAAGAATGCTTCTGTCGGCATAACTAATGTCATTCAGGGAGGCAGTGTCCCTACATCAGCAGAAAAACTCATTCTGACAGCATATTCTGTGTCTATGTTGCCATAGGTTCCTCTCTCCTGCAGGGACATAATGAGTTACATTGTTGCAGATTTCCTCGAGCAATGAAAGTCTGAAATTAAATAAGACAACTTTGCTGTCATATACCCTATCCTAGGGTACGTCTACAATTACTTCCTGGTTCGGCGGCAGGCAATCGATCTTTTGGGATCGATTCTGGAAGTGCTCGCCGTTGACGCCGGCACTCCAGCTCGGCGAGAGGAGTACGTGGCATCGATGGGGGAGCCTGCCTGCCGCGTCTGGACCCGCGGTAAGTTCGGACTAAGGTACTTCGAATTCAGCTATGTTATTAACGTACCTGAATTTGCATACCTTAGTCCGAAGTGGGGGGTTAGTGTGGACCAGGCCCTACTCTTTTACAATTTTAGTCTTTTAATTAGGTAATATATATAACATGAACAAGACAAGATTAAGGTCAAATCCAGCGCCCTAGGCAAACTCCATTGAGCCCCAGCATAATTTAGAGCAGTTTAATGACTTTTCTAAATTACCTGAATTGCAGTATACCATCTCCCTTCCAACTAAGCTGCCAGTCAGCTCACCAGCTCAGTAGCTGTCAGAGTGGGCTACCGACTCCCCGGTTTTCACAGCCCCCCTGTGATCGCAGGGAGCTAAAACAGCTGGGGGGTACACTGGAGGAGAGTGCCAGGGATCCACCTGGAGTGTTATCTTCTGAACAGGTTTAATTTGGGCATGCAGAAGAGCTCGCCAACCCAGATACATATCCTCTGCCATAGGCTGTGCAAGGAGCTGTCCAGTCTGTCTGGTCAAGGCTGCAGTGGCCTGTTTGAAGTTCCTTCAGCTGACCACTGTGCTGCTTTACATTCTTCACCATTTCTGTGTTCTGTTCACTGATAAAATGATCACTAGCACACTAGTTTCTATCCTGTAGAAAACAATGTATCGTTATAGGAAACAGGAGGTGAAGGGGGAAGTTGTTAGGATGTTAGTAGTGCATTGGTAATGATCTTGTTCTGAGGATGTGATTTTGAAATAGCAGAATTTTAGTTTAAATATAAATTAAGTTTTTTGGTGAAGTCAAATAAATAAAAGTGGGCCTTTAATTAGAGCTGGCTAGAAAATGGAAATTCCTTCACATGAAAAATATGTCCACACTGCGATAAAAGACCCACGACATGGCCATGGCTGGCCTCGGGCAGCTGACTCAAGCTCGCTGGACTTGGGCTGCAAGTGCCCTGAGACCCCACAAGGGGGAGGGAGGTCTGAGAGCCTGGGCTCCATCCCAAGCAATCTACTCTGCTATTTTTAGTCCCATAGCATGAGCCCTGCAAGCCTGAGTCAGCTGACCTGGGCTGTGAGGCTCACTGACCTGGACCTTTTTTGCTGTGTGGACGTACCCTTAGCCTCCCCCTATTTCTGGGGCCAGAACTAGGAGGGGGCAGGAAGGCTGAGCGCCTGGGCTCTTTGCCTCTCCGGTGTTTGGGGTGAAGGCAGGGAGGTCTGAGATCCAGAAAGGCAGATTCAGGGCGCCCAGCCATGGCAGGCCTTTTGGAAGGCTTTTGTCAGTTTGACTTTCTGCCTACAGGCAGAAGAGCCTTCTAGGAGGCAGCCTTCGATGGGAAATTCCCAACCCGCTCTACTTTAAATTTTTCTCAGTGTAAAAACAAATGCCTTCTCTATTGTAAATTAGACCATTCCTTTTCTAATCTTGTGCTGAGAACTTGCTACTTTCAGTGACATCAGTGGTGGTTGCAGTCACTCAGCACTCTTCAGCATCAAGCTGTTAAGTGTTAAGACATAGTAACCAAACAAAAAAAAAATATATTGTCAGTATGGAGTACTGGTTCTCATCTGTTACTTAGGACTCAATTTAGAAAAGCACTTAAGCAGACGCTTAAGTCCATTCCTATTGAGGAAAACACGTTACAATGACATTACAGTCAAGCCTGTGCTTACATGCTTTCCTGAGTAGGGAGGCTTTCCTCAAGCAGGACCTTAGTGTGGGTCATTGGGGTTGAAGGGCTTGAGACAAAGCAATTATTTCTTCTACACCACTCACACAATCTATTCTTTCTTGCTAGTGATAGCTACAGTGACCTCAGTGATGACAGTTCTCCAGAAAAAGAACCTCCTGATTCAGAAACAAGTTGAACCCCCTGCATGAGAGCAGAGAATTGGAGAATGCTACTGAGGTGAACAGGGTCCTTTTGTTGCTTCTTTCTTCTTGACTTACTGCAAGAGACAAAGTTATCTTGGGTCTCCGTCTCACTCCAAATCCCCTCTGAAAGCTTATCTTTTCTCCCTTGCCTGCAGCATTTAATTTCTCTCCCCTTCTGTTGTTTAACTTTGTAATTGTATTATTAAAATCTGCAGTGTGTTTTGGGTGCAGTTCTGATATTGTTTGAAAAGCTATTATTTATAATTATACTTTTGTAATCTTTCCAAAAATTGTTTTCTTTACTTGTTTGTTACTTTAGCATGCAACTCAAAATGAGTTTGATTCCATTGTGTTGACTTGATTTTGTTTTTGCCCCTCTTTGAACCATTTCTTTGTGTTTTATTTTCTGTTGTCATATTTCTACCAGAGATGGACACTCGGCCTTAGGACAGTGAAGACACTTCATGATAAATCTCGGGGTTCAGCCAGTGTAGGGATGTGAATTTAGCAAGCTAATATTTTTAAATTGGAGTTTTGTTTGCTAATATACTCTTGCTAAAGTCCTGTTACTTCTAGTTGTTTGCTTCTTTAACAATAACAGTAATGGTCTCCACAGCTATCTGAATGTGTATTTCCCTTGAGGCATCTGACCTTGGCTACCTCGTGGATTGATCCGCAGTCTTACTTTAACCATTGAGACTTAACACAAAGCCTTCAAGATCATGGCCAGTGTGTTAATCTCATTCATCCCTTCATTCTGAACCACGATGCGGTGTTCTTGAATACCGTTGTATGCAGTTCATTTTAGGTTTCCATTTCCCCAATTTGATCCTCTCTATTTGCATGGCATAACCGCTGTCTGCTGTGCCACATTGGTGATTAAGGCTGCATATAAATAAGGTAGACTGAGGCTCAGGAGATGTGAGTTCTGCTCTTAGCTCAACCACATATTTCTTCTATGACCTTGAGCAAGTCACTTTGGGTGGGATTCACAAGGTAGAATTAGTTGCCGAAGTCCAATATTTAGACACTACTGCAATCCACAAAGCCTTTGCTTAGCTGCTGCCTAACTTTGTAGGTACCTAAAGTCCCTCATGCCTAAGTTTCCAACCATGAAAATCCCCCAGGTGCCTAAATTTCAGCAGCTGAATATGTCCAGAGTAGTGTAAGTCCTGATACTGCTTGGCACCTAACTCACACTTAAGCCCCAGAAAAATTAATGAACTAATTAATGACTTAATGGGTAGTGTGCTTGGAGCACAAATAAACACACCCGAAACGGGAGGAGGTGGTAGAGTGCCCCCCCTCCCTTACAACTTTTAGTCCAGTAGTTAAAGCACTTACACAGGTTCAATTCCCACTTCTGCCTGAGGTGGAGAAAGGATTTGAACTTGCGTCGCCTACCTCCTAGAGGGCTGCCTTAGCCAATAGACTATGGCATATGCCTGGGTAGCTGTTTCTCCATCTCTCCTGTTTAAATAATTAAATAGTCATTGGCGTAGGCAGACTGAAAGTGGGGTGGCCTATATAATCACTGGGATGGTCATTCTTACTCTGTCTTTGGCCCAGTGCATATTTAAGTATTTATACACAGTGGAACAGCATCACTGGGAGAGATTGAGAGAGTCCTGATCCAAAATGTCCTAGCGCGCAGTAGCTAGGGCTCTCTCCTGGGAGGTAGAAGATCCATGTTAAAATCCTTTTGCCACATTAGGTAGGGGAGGAGGGATTGAACCTCAGTTTCCCTTATGCTGGGCGTGTGCTCTAACCAGTGAGATAAAGCCTGTTCCTTGTTGGCTAGCTTAGACAACTCCCTGCTAGTGTGATGGCTTTTGTTAATTCCATTCTTAGGTGCCAGTGCCCACCATGCATTGTATAGGGAGCTTGCACACCTAACTCAGGGCTGTAAATTCCACGAGGCGGCAGGTGCCTAAGCCCCCTTGTGAATCCCACCCTTCATCTTGCTATACCTCAGTTCCCCATCTGTAAAATAGGGATAATGATACTTCCCTACCTCACGTGGCTGGGGAGGATTAATCTATATGAGAATCTCAAATACGATGGTGATGAGCAGCTTAAAAAAGTCAGTAAAGAAATAAAACACTTCTCACCCTGCTTTCTGCCTGAGCTGCAAGAGCAACGCTGTGACACTGTGTGTGTCTATAACTGACACCAAATTTATGAGATCCAGTTTAGCTTTGACTATGGGTTTCCCAACAGAGTGCATGATGGCAAATCCTAACATGCCATTAATCTAGGTACAGAATTGTGACTCTTCAGATGCAAATTGCTTGCATAAATGTATTTCTGTGGTGCTTTAAGTTACTTTGCCAGCAGAGTTTCAGATTGAAGAATCTACATTTTTATTTTGATTTCTCACCAGCAGGCACTAATTACATTCTGTAGAATTACACTAGATGAGCAAATAGCACACAGCTTTACTTATAGGCATAATCAAATTACAAAAGTGATCATCGCCTCAGTTACCTTCATTACAATATTAAGATTTTAAGAGGGGCATGATTTCCCCTAATCAAGGGTGGATGCACATGTAGACTATATTTGCTTTGGTTCATTAGCACTCTGCAGAATCTAGGTAAACTTGCAGTATCTACTGTAAAATTATTTTTATGTCCATCATCTATTCCACTGGGTACATGGACATTAAGGGATATGCCAACTATAAAAATGCTAAATGGATATGCAGAGAAGGCTTGTACACACACTAATTCTTGCCTCTTTTTTTTGTTTTTGTTTAGAAAGACAAAACAAAATCGAATGGAAGGAAATTCACACTAATTGGTTGCACCATTTTTGTACAGTCTTATTTTCCATATATGATATAAATAGCATATGATATAGACTGTAAAGCTATTACAGAGACTTAACTTCCTCACAGAAGCATTTGCCTCCCTGCTATGGATGTGAGTTGTTTCCAGTTGTCATTTTCCAGATGATATTTTCATTCCCCTGTATGAGAGTAGTTCTCCAGATAATTGCTGTTTGTTTAAAAATGAGACAAAGGACCATCAAATCTTAGCTGTCAGTCACAATAATTGGTCTTGTCCTATGATTTCTGAATGATCTCAGGTGAATCTGCCGTAGTTCTTTATCTGTAGCAATCTTGATTTACACGAAGATTTGGGGTTGTTTTTTAAATAAAATGAAACAGGAAATAATGCTTTTGCCTTAGAACAGTAAAATGTATTTTGTGTGTGTGCTGTCTGTGTGCTCAAAGGTGGGAATGAACTAAAAAACAAAACTGATCTTATATGTGAGCAGTGGAGAATCATTTCAGTGTTAAGATTATTCAATAAATGTTTACTCCTTTGCTGTTGACATAAACAAGGCATTATGTTGGTCTATTGTAGTCTTCACGGAGTTTAATAACTGATGCTGAATATGCATGTCTTTTCATTTTGCCTCTGCAAATGCAGCGTCACCATACAGCTGCTAAAATTTATCTGCTTCTTGCTTTCACCCGAACAGTAATATTTTTGAAAAGCTGATAATACTGAACATAATGCTAGTCTACTAAATTCTAAATGGGATAGCAGAAGGTTTGAATTTACTAGATGCCTAAGAGTATTTAAACACATGGATACACAATAAAAAATAATCTAGTCAGCTGTAAACAAAACATTAATGCACAGAATTTAAGAGGGAGAGATCCTGGGGTCCAGCTGGATTGCACATAGCACATGTCAGGAAATGGATACAAAGATGGATTAAATCTCATCTTCACACTCCTCTGATTCAGGGGCCACTCTATACAGAGCTGGTCCCCTTGTGCCCCATTAGAGCAGCCTATGGGCTATTCTAATTTATGACAGATGCAAACACCCAGAGCTACTGAAACTACAACCAGTAACCAGTGTCTCCTAGGGGTGTCTTGGCCACAACCTACCTTGCCTACTATCTGAGCAGCACAAGGGCAACAGATGATCCCCTAGTGAGTCCGCCAAGGGCCAGTTAGGATGGCTCTAGGACCAGATTCCACCAGTTGTGTGACCATCCAAGGTCTGGCCCGTAGTGTGGATCGGCACCCTAAAGCTAGCATAGCCCAAATGTCTGAAATGAGGTCCTCAAGTTTCATGTTTTAATTTTATAAATTAAAAGGTTATTTTTTACCCAGGCACACTGGACAGTCATCTAAAAAAAATGATTTGCCTCTTAAATAACTTTGTAATATTTAATTTGTAAGTATGAGATTTTTAAAAATTGCTTTAGAAAACCCCAGTTCCTGCAGTCAATCCATCTGTTCATTAAGAGAAACCCTGATGATAAAATAAGTTCCTAATATGTCATTGTTTTGGGGTGGTTTGCAGATGTGTGCCTTGGAAATAACAGATATTGTCGGAGTTGATATTACTATATGTCTCTGATCTAGAACATGTTGGACTTTTAAGAATGTCTATAACTTTAAAATGTATTTTCAAATACATTAAATTATGTTATATGAAAATGTTTATACAGTGTGTTGTATTATGTCCAGAATATAGCGTATGTTGTTTGTGTCCCATGAAAGCATTGAGATAGACAATATATACAGTCTGCCTGAATGCAGTATTGTCTATCAATGCAGCCATCTCCTATTAATCTGTAAATGTATTCCTAATTCATACAAAAAGTAATGACTTACGACAGTATCCCGGGAGCTAGTTTCCCCACTCAAAAAATTGGGAGAATACCTAAGGCACAGAGAAGTTGTGATTTGTTTTTGTTTTTTTTAAAGTTGAGGAAGCTAGTGACAGAGCTGAGAGTAGCAGCTTGATCACTCAGCTCCCTTAACCTGTCCTCTCCCCCTCCAGACTGTGTTGGGGAGCTGCCCCCAGGACATTGGATCCTGGAGGCCTGCCCCACCATATCCATGAGGAACCCCTCCTTTGTCACCAGCAGCAGCAGGAGGACACGTCCAAGGGTGACTTTTAAAGGACCCTACTCCCTGGGAAAGGGCCAGAGAGCAGGGAGGTGTGCTTCATGGTGTCCGGCAGCAGCCTCTTCCAATTTAACTGGCCTGCTGATGTCATTCTTTTACACAGAACCAGCCTGAAACCAGGGTCCCATGTGCTGGATCCACTCCTCAGGAGCTTCTCCAGGGACTAGGCCTCCTCACCCCACACACTGCCTCACTTCACTTGCTTTCCACACATCAGCGCTGCAAGGTTTGAGGCAGGTCTGCACACCCCGTCCTCATCACAGAGGCCCTGTCCTTCTTGGCTAGATAACCATACTCAGAGAGTAGTTATTAATGGTTCCCAATCCTGCTGGAAAGGTATAACAAGTGGGGTCTGCAGGGGTCTGTTTTAGGACCGGCTCTGTTCAATATCTTCATCAACAACTTAGATATTGGCATAGAAAGTGCGCTGATTAAGTTTGCAGATGATACCAAACTGGGAGGGATTGCAACTGCTTTGGAAGATAGGGTCATAATTCAAAATGATCTGGAAAACTGGAGAAATGGTCTGAGGTAAACAGGATGAAGTTTAATAAAGACAAATGCAAAGTGCTCCACTTAGGAAGGAACAATCAGTTTCACACATACAGAATGGGAAGAGACTGTCTAGGAAGGAGTACGGCAGAAAGGTATCTAGGGGTTATAGTGGACCACAAGCTAAATATGAGTCAACAGTGTGATGCTGTTGCAAAAAAAGCAAACATGATTCTGGATGCATTAACAAGTGTGTTGTGAGCAAGACACGAGAAGTCATTCTTCCGCTTTACTCTGCGCTGATTAGGCCTCAACTGGAGTATTGTGTTCAGTTCTGAGCACCGCATTTCAAGAAAGATGTGGAGAAATTGGAGAGGGTCCAGAGAAGAGCAACAAGAATGATTAAAGGTCTTGAGAACATGACCTATGAAGGAAGGCTGAAAGAAATGGGTTTGTTTAGTTTGGAAAAGAGAAGACTGAGAGGGGACATGATAGCAGTTTTCAGGTATCTAAAAGGGTGTCATAAGGAGGAGGGAGAAAACTTGTTCATCTTAGCCTCTAAGGATAGAACAAGAAGCAATGGGCTTAAACTGCAGAAAGGGAGGTTTAGGTTGGACATTAGGAAAAAGTTCCTAACTGTCAGGGTGGTTAAACACTGGAATAAATTGCCTAGGGAGGTTGTGGAATCTCCATCTCTGAAAATATTTAAGAGTAGGTTAGATAAATGTCTATCAGGGATGGTCTAGACAGTATTTGGTCCTGCCATGAGGGCAGGGGATTGGACTTGATGACCTTTCGAGGTCCCTTCCAGTCCTAGAATCTATGAATCTATGAATCTTCCTCGTTCACTTCAGGATTCCAGGTTCCAACATCATTAACTAAAATAACTGCCATCTGCTTCATGTAAGATATGTCTGTTACCTCCATTTCCTTTTCCTTGCCTCACCATGCCACCTCTGCTCACATTCCCGACCCTTATCTCTTCCTTTCCGTCCTCTTGCTGGTCCCAAGGCCACCGTTCCTTACCATCTTCCTGTCCTTCCCTTGATGCTCTCCTACAACCACATTCTCTGCCTTCTTCCATCTCATCTCTCCCACTCAATCCACAGTCGCTTGTAAATTTAGTGGAACCCTTTAAACCATGAAGACGCGCTAATAACCTACTTACTGTAACCCTTGTCCTCCCTTCCTCCCTAACCTCATAGATTCTAAGGCCAGAAAGGACCATTGTGATCATCTAGTCTGACCTCCTGTCTAACACAGGCCAGGGAACTTCCCCAGAATAATTGCTAGAGCCTATCTTCAGAAAAACATCCAATCTTGATTTTAAAATTGACAGTGATGGAGAACCCACCATGCCTCATGCTTTGTAAGCACTTGTACATCATGTCTGAAAGTGGATAATATGTTCTTCAGGCAAGGACCGTTTCTTTTATGTATTCAGTGAGACACCTACCACATGTTTGGGCATTTTATAAATAATCATCTCATTGCTCTGCAAGTGCATATTGCACACAAAAGAATTAAGTGCTCCCTACTAAATTGTATTTAACCTTATTCTAGCTATTCTCTTCTACCCAGTGGGATATTTGAAGAGATTAATATATTACAGCATGGACTAATGCAAATGGTTAAATCCCTTGGGTCAAATTCATATCAAGATATATCCACAAGACATTTTCTTTAACACTTATTCCCTACTATTGTCAGAGAGAGTATATGTCATTTTAAAAAAACATCCAATTTCTGAATATGTCCAGTATTTGAAATTGCTGTATGTTACCTCTACCTCATCCATCTTCTTTGGGTCATGAGCTCAGACCCATCAGTACTTTCAAGCTAAATGTGATTGCTATTGCCAGATGACAGGCATATGTCTGTGCTTCCCTAAGGAAAGAGAAAGGAAACGTACATGTGAGAATCCAAATTGTACACCAGACTGATCCATGAACTGCCACCAACACAGAGGCTTTGAGTCAGAAGAAATCGACTCTTCTGCTCCTCTTCAGCCTTTATACATGGCTGGGCCTAATGGCCTAATGAGAGGAAAGGTGAGCCATTATTTATGAAATGCTCTACTACTGTATTTTCAGACCGACCATCCCATTCCAAGAGGGAGAAGAGGAATTTATTTTATTTATTTCCATTTTTATGTTCATATTCAATTCAACACTTTCTTTCAGGGAAACATTTAATTATCACTGTGGCAAGATGGAGAAGACAGAGTCTACAAAGAAAGAAACACACAACCAAGCTTATAGATGGTTGCTTGTCTGATTTGAGTTTTGGTGTGTGTCAGAATAAAAGATTATTTGGGCTCTTGGATGGGGTTACTGTGAAGCAAAGCTATTTGTTTAATGTATTTGTCGTCATTCTAAAATTCAAAAACGTAATGAAAAAGATACAGAAAGGGGATTTTGTTATTTACTAAACTCTAAAGCTTTGCTCCTTTCATTTTGTTCTCTTTGGATTCATATATGTGGCAGCTCTGAAGTGGAGAGCAGGCAAGCTAATGAGCTAAGCTGTGTCTTGTTTA